TTAATGTAATAAATCAATTTTTAAATCCACATTAAAGTTTTTTTTTTTTTTTTTATTGAACAAAAATTTTATTTACAATCTATAATTACATGTATTACGATAAGTAAAAGTGATGGGCATGATTAGAGGGAGGGAGAAGTCAATCAATTTTGGCACCCCGTTATAGTTACAACCTACATAATTTTAACTGTACAATTTATTGTATACCTATTATATAAAATAAAAACGAAAGAATAATGTTGAGATTGTAACTTTGTCAAAAATGTCAATACGAAAAAAGGATCAGGTGAAACTGAGCAGTAGAACATATTATAATATTATATAGATATGACAGTTTTCAAAATTATGATGAAAAACATACCTACCTACTCGTTCATTTAACATTTTATAATTAATATTATTTTTCATTCTAATAAGAGAACACAAAAAAATGAAATTTATTTATAAATGTAAGTAATAGTTAGTTTAGAAACAAATTTACTATAAAATTGAATTTATTTTTAAAAAATCCTTATTAACCACTTTTTATATAATCAAACCCAAATCGAATAACAGTTGGAATAATAATTATAGCTTAGGGTCTGGCATGAGGTTTAAATAAATATATTAAAATTTGTTAAACTACAATTACAACTTTTAGAACTTATGCATAATTTAATGTTAAATTTCCGGTTATCAATAAAGAAAAAACTTTAAATTATTCTTTGTTTATTATTAAAAAAAGAATGTCTACAGTCTGTATGAAATTAATACTATAAGACAAGTAATATACTCAACAAAGATGCAAAGACAGCTTTTCCCATTCACTATACTTCAAAGAAATTATTATCTTCGTAATAATTATGTTTTATATTTGTAGATTAAATTTAATGATAATAAAATAAAATGTATTATTTTATATGCGAGGTAGTGTACAATACAAAAATGTGTAAATGGTATCAGAATGATTAAAGCGGCCTGGTAAATAAATTGTTTTATTAAATTTACTAGTTATAAAAACCAAAATATAAGTTTATATTAATTTAACTGACAAAATATGTTCATGTATTTACATGAATATATTATATCCTTATACTGTTTACATAAAATAAAAATAAATAATATAAAAAATATAGATTAAATTAATATAGTTACCAATACACTAAGCAATTATTTAGCATGATACAACTATCCAATGAAAAAGTATGTATTGTGTACAATTTAATAAAAAAGATCGTTTTATATTCATACGAGTATATTCAATATATTTCATAATATATTGTACCTACTGCTTAATAATATGGACAAAAATGTTTACAATTATTTTCGAATTATTGAACAACAAAAAATAGAAACATTTGTTTTTGAAACAAATAATAAAACAACAAATTACTTGTATTATACCATTTTTTTAATTCTTAATTTAATAGTAGGTATACACCAGCGATTCCCAAAATGTGCACCGCGTAGTCTTTACATGGGCGCCGTGCTTCCGTAGAATTTTATATGGTCCAAAAATATATTTGAAAACCCGAAGATGGCGGCGATGGAAACAATTACAATTATGTAAATAAAAATGTATAAACTATAAATAATTGTAATTAATTATTAAATACATATTTTTATATCACGAATTACAATTTTTCTATTTCATATGATTAGTAATGCTATTACTTGGGAAGGCCCTTAGAAAACCTTAGATCAAAAAGAGCGCAGTGAGCCAAAAAAGTTTGGGAACCGCTTTTGTGCAATATTATACACAGGTACTCACAAAATATTTCAATTCGTACAAAACTGTATTATACTCATAAATACGGAAAAAAAATTTTCAAGATTATTTGGAACTTTTTAAATTGTTGAACAAAAAAAAAAAATAAGAAATTACTTTTCAATATTATACATAATAATATATCCATTGTATTTTCGTATGAAATCATAATTTGTAAAAACATTGATATTATGAATACAAGTACCTATAGTTAGATTAGGTTAGCACTCCAACAATTTGAAAAACTTTTACAATAATTAATATGTACCGGAAAGCAGTGATCTAGTGTAATGTATAGATGAAGCTATGATATTGAAGCAGTATTAAATATTTAAAAATAAATAAGAATCATTTTACATCAAAGAATTGGATTGATGCTGAAATATCATTTTCATAAACTGAAAGGAAATGGTTTATAAATTAATTTATAAAATTTAAAAAAAAAAAACAAAAATTATGGAGTATTGAATTCTGTATTACTTAAATTATTGTAAAAAAGAGGATATTTAAACTCTAAATGTAAATACTATATAGGAGTGGTCAAACGTTACCTACTAAAAATAAGAAATGATTTATTGCTTAACAAGTTTTTTGCTTAAGAACTGTTCTAAAATGTGCTTGGCATTATACTTTAAAAATGTCATAAATCCTTGCACCGTCATTTAACTTTAGTAGATACATCTTAAATCTGATCTTAGTGAAAATGAGTTAATGACCGGTGAAATAATTTTTATTTAGTGACAATATCGCGTTAATGTAATAGTTACTTTAATTTAAATTATAAATTGTTTATTTGCTGTAGAGAATGGGCAAAAATAAAGTTTACCTACTCAAAGTCGATCTTGAGAGTCAAGACGACTATCAGTTTATAAAAAATTGATTGTAAGATAGTTCACTGCCCTAATTCCTAAACATATTTATATAGTGTATTAATCCTATAAATACCCAATTTTAACGTAAACGGTACTCCATAAGTAATATTATATAGATATTAAATATATATATTAAATTTAAAATAGTGGTAAATTAACGAACAATTATTTTATTAAGGTATGTCTTAGTAAAGATTTTTCTTCTATTGCTTAATTGACTTCTACTACTCTTATATAAAATGAAGCTGTAACTTTTTCATACGAAAAAAAATATTTTAACTTTTATTAGGAGTGAATATTTATTGGCACATAACAATTAAATGTACAGCACCGACACTTGTTTTATATTTTACCTTGGATTGAAATATACAAAGTAAACGGGCTTAACAAGTTTTATTTTTAATTTAATTTTAAATATTAGAATATTTTAGCTTAAAGTAAAGGTACATAATACATTAGATATACACATGGAATTAAAATATCAGCAATGTTGATATGGGATTCTCTGTTAAGACATATAGCTTGCACACGCATGTTGGATAATATAATATTATACCAAGAATGAAATGCTATAATATTTTAAATCCAAACAATCAAGCGACCTCTTGAATTAATGAATTTACCATCAAAAGTGATTTTTTGTTCTTTTTATATTATTAGAAGGATAATCGGCTGGGAAACTCGTTTCTTAAAATGTATTACACGTGGAGTTCAATGGCGTCACCATTTATTTACATCGCATAATTCATTTTCCGCAAGACAAAAAAAAAAATATCTTATGTTATCTTAACATTTTTTAAATCCCTAGATCCGTTAGCTCTGTGGAATACGGTTTATTTTTACTTACCACTTTGAGGTCATCCAGATAAGTTTAGAATGTTGTCGTGTAAGGAGGAAGTTGAAATGAAAATGTTCATATTTTTTTGTCCAACGATACACAGTGACAGCGTTAATATGGTATTGCCATATATAGACCACATAGGTAAGTGATTGTGCGGTATCAGATATAGTATATGCAATTAGCCACTATAGTAGGCAGAGCGATTAGTTTTTTCTAAACGATACCTAACAACTAGTATGAGACGGTGGACACTAAAAGTATACCTAATACGTCATATTGTAATTTAAAACCATAGGCACTCACAAGCCACTGTGGAAGTTGACTTCGACGAGCACTGTGATGTCGGTGAACACTAACGGTCGCAAGAAAACTTCGAAATAAAAAACGTCGGTGGTCGGGAGAAAAACGTGCAAGTGACACACAAGAAGAAACAAAAATCAAAAAAACATCAACAAATCCGACGACGGAAGCATGGAGCGGACCACGAGCAGCGACCTGCGTAACGGCGATATGCACGCAGCACGGAGCACGCGGCTGTGATGTGCGACGACGGCGACACGACTGAACCGCCCGGAAAAAAAAATATAAAGCTCCCACGCTGCGCGTTGGCGTTAGGGGATGCAAGTGCGGGGGATGATCGCGCGACGTCGACCCTCGACGACGAAGGGTGGTGGTGGCGGCGGCGGCGGCGTTGGTGGTCGGCCACCTGCGTCCGCGTGCCGCGACCTTCATTAGACCCGTCATTACGGGATCCGCGCACTCGGGGCCCGTTTCTAAAGTCTCTCCCGTTCGCAAGTTCATCGCGGCCTTTATAATATTCTGCACGACTGTTGGGACACCGACGCCTGCGGGGTTCGATTGAGTAGTGATATCCTCACAAATATCCTGCTTGATTTTTGATACTCGAATGGTGATAACGTCACACCGTGTCTAAAATAATATTATTCCCAGGTATATAATGTTATGTGTAAAAAAATGTGTGGTATTATTTCAATGGGTGTTGGCTAGGTCATGGTTATCCGATAATTAAGAGTATATATACTATATAGTGTAAATTTTAATTGTAAGTCGGGGTCTAACTGTACGGGGTTCGCATTATATGAGGAGGGAGGAATTCTGTCTCAGGGATTTTTTCAGATAGTTATTGTTATTTTGATTCAGTTTGCTTCGGCAAGTTCAAGGACTTGGGCCCACTCGAGCTTACCAGTATATTTATTAGCTATTACTGCCGTATCAAAATATGGCATATATAAGCAGTATAAAATCAATTTTTGGAGTTGTGACCAAATTGCTTTATTATGGATCAAATCGCTCCAGTATATGGGAGTAAAGTCAGTGTCATTGCAGCACACCGTGCATACATTACTATGACGATTATCTATAAATTATAATTGATAGTTTATTAATAAAAATACGTTGAACTTTTACTGGATTTTCGCCAAACCTGGATGGCTGGACCCAACCTATAATAAAAACTGTGACTACAATTATTCCAGTGTCTCATAAATCATTTTTTTTTTTTATATATATATATGATATATTATATTATGATTGTGTCGAATATCTTTGCGTTTTCCGTACAGAATACATCGTGTGAAGTCGATATTTTTCTCACCATCAGCCGAATCGATGGCGATGCACCGAGTTTTCGACTAGCTAAGAAATGGATCAACCTGCAAAATCGTGTTGGCAAGTCGCGGTGATTTCGCCGGTCCGGTGTTCCGGAGATACAGTTCAATGCTGAACATGCCGAGGCGCGGGCGGCTTCTGCGGGTGATGCATCCGACGACATCGGGTTGCCGTCTGCCGCCTCAATGCAGTAGCCGGTATCAGTCGATTCAAAGTCTGCCGGCGGCTCGATGCAAACTGTCTTGGTCGAGGCGTTAAGTAGCCCGTCCGACATGGTCGCGGCGGAATGTTATGCCAGTCCAATGGTCCATTATTAGTTATTACATTCCGTTGGTCGAAACGGAAATAATGACGGCCATTTCCACCCAAGTCAAGATCGATACATCGCACGTCTCTGCGCCGCAGGTTCGGCCGACCGAAGAGGACGTGCAGCGGTCAAGCGGAGATCTCGCGGATCCACCGGGACGCCGTTCTGGTGTTCTAATGCTATGCCGAAGAGTGCTGTGCAGTTTACTCTAGCCGACATCGAGTACGTCCCAGCGCGAGTTTCGATCAAGACGTTCGAGTTTGAAAACAGCCGAACTAAAACTCACGTGCCGCAACAAGTGGTGCTTAATCAAAATGCGTCTAGACCACTACAACTTTTAGAAAGAAAAATTATTAGGATATTATGTTTAAGTAAAAATACTTTAATAGATTCAACTAAAGAAAACTTTAAGTTATTAGATGTGTTACCGTATGAGTCTGTACATAAGAAAAAAATTATTTTATATATAATTAAAAACTTTAAATCCAGGCTGGATATGAAAAATTCTAAATGTAATAGATAAAAGAGAAAATAGGGCGTTTGATGTCAGAATGGAGTATTCTAGAAAAGCGTTTGGTCAAAAATTCATAGACTATATCTAGGTCCAAAAAACTACACCTTAATGCCTATAAATATACAAGACATTTTCTATGATGAGAATGGGATAGGAATCGTATAACTATAGGAATAAAAAACAGATTTGGCTATTTTTAGTATTTGAATAAAGATTTATATTTATACTGTTGAAATTTTATATATTAATTATAAATACTCTAAATTTATATACAGATTATTGTCTGTTTATCATGTTAGTTAAATTGTTCATAATAATATGTTATTATAACTATCTACCACCACCTCATCAAGCATGTGCTTAAAGGTGGTAGATATTTTTCTTTATTTTTTTCCTTTCATTATAAGCTTTAATTATTAAGTAAAAATATGTATAATTTCTCTATGCAATAGAAAACAAATTGCTAACTTATAAAAAAAAACACTTCTATCGATTATCGACTGACTATATTCTACATAAACTGAAATGTTATCGGTAATGTACTAATGTATTGTAATTAGTAATTACTAATTTGTAATACAATTATCAAACATTTAAACCTTTATAATGTTCCGTGGGTGGACCCGATATCTACTATGGGGAACATATACGAATAATAGATCGTAGTTTAAACTTTAGAAAATGACTTTTTCAAACTACGTTTACTGAATTATATAGATTAGATAACTAATGAAAGATTTAATACTTCAATTAAAATACAAATTTAACAAGTCCACTCCAAATTGCACCTATGAGTGTAACTCAAAACCGAATAACCGTAGTTTATAACCTACTTGGAATTTCTACCAAATGTTTATGTTAGCATTTTCTGTACACGATTAACATTTTCAAAATATTCTTATACTTTTTGAGCGATTTATAGACATTTTACAGTATTGACTTTTTTTTTCTAAATGTCGATAAAAAACAGAGATGTTTAGGTATTGAAATATTGTATGTAGTAGTGGTAATTTTGAATCGAAGGTTACAATTTTAATATAACGTACATACCTATAAATGTTGTAATTTGTTTTAATAAAATAGTTTTCATTTTAATAATATGTAGATATGTTATAATAGTATATTCAATGTAGGAAAGTGGGGGAGAAAAAATGACATATTTCATATTATACCTATTACATAAGGTAATATATTTTAAAGGCATTTGAATAGGGGGTGTAGTAGGCAGAGCCCCACTGATCTGTTTTATTTAAATATGTAAAGCCTATGAAATATATGAAAATAATATGAAATTTCGCCTATGCCCATGGCCAATGACCATGTAGTACAAAACTACTAAGTACTATTACATTCTCATTAGGTATAATATTTCAAAATTGTACTACCAAACAACTACAACAGACATTCCAAAATTCAAATCTTAATTCTGAAGTCCATTGCCAAAAACAAGCGGCTTTTCTCGTCAATTTCTAACGGTTACCACTTACCTGTACTTGTACAACAGTACCACTCACTATCGACAGTCGGTACCTACTACCTACACGGGCTACACGGCTACACATGGATCGAGAAACAACTGCAGCATACTTATTATATTATTATTATGATGATTAAAGATGTATACAGGTCGTGATGAGTTTATTAAGTTTCACGACCCTTACACTGTCGTCTACCTGTGCCCACCATCCAGACCGTCCACACGATTTTTTGTTTATACTGGTACATGGGGAGTGGGGGCTTTTACATTAAACATTTGTTCAGATCGGAATATAGGCCCGCCGGGAAACCCCGACAAGCCCTTTATACTGTGTACCGATGTTTTTATTTGCCTAACCTTAGTTTATAATTGTTTTTAACTGAATGTTAAAACGGCAACGGTCCTGGACTACACTATAAACTGCGAACATCTACAAAATGACTACATTTTTAAGATAATTTTAGGATTAAACCGAGAACCTAGTTGCAGTGACAGTCGCCGGGAAACCCCGACAAGCCCTTTATACTGTGTACCGATGTTTTTATTTGCCTAACCTTAGTTTATAATTGATTTTAACTGAATGTTAAAACGGCAACGGTCCTGGACTACACTATAAACTGCGAACATCTACAAAATGACTACATTTTTAAGATAATTTTAGGATTAAACCGAGAACCTAGTTGCAGTGACAGTCGTCCCGTTTCGTAGGCTTCTTCAACGATATAATTTTGAATATCGATATCGTTTTGATTGTGTGCGATATCGCGTTATTTCTATTAATTATTTATTTTTCTGTTATCCTGTGCTATTTTTAACACAAATAGTAAATACCCAATGGCCGGGGTATATCGATATATTTCGATTATCGAATATATTGATAATCTTTTATCGATATATCGTACGATATATTAAGATTATCGATATCGAAATTTCCGAAAAAAAGTTCGCGATATCGATATCGTATCGAAATATCGATATCGTTGAAGAAGCCTACCGTTTCGTAATTTTCTTTTTATTATTTCAAATGTTCTGAAATGTATTGGTACTATGGGCATTTGATCCCGGTTGTACGAGTATACTTGTATTTTCCCCCAAAAGAATGAAATTATTGTACTTTGTATCACAGTTCTGTTAATCGATTATAATTTCTTAAAATATATTTAAATTCATCATAAAGTTCATTGAAAATTACTATCACTTTTATACAATTAATTTCGTTATAGCCATTCAATATTAGATTTAAAATTTTTTTGGAGGGGAGTAGTTTAGTGGCCTCTAGGACGATCCCGTAATATATTCAGCATTTCAGCCGTAATTCATCAAGGCCAGCTGATTACGCCTTCCAATCTGATCCTCCTCCTAGATTTTCCATAGATATTATCTTTCTTTACCATATCTTCCAACTCATTCTCGATCTTCCGATAGATCTTTTTTCTATCCAGTTCTTTTCTAGTACTATACTGAGTAATGGGGTTTCTTTTCTCCAAACGTGCCCTACCCATGATTGCAGTACCTATTTTGTTTCTGATTGCTTCTATTTTGGATATTCTGAATTTAATTTTTTTAAATAAAATGTAAGAAATTAATTTTCTTCAACTTTATTGGATAAATAAATTATTTATTAGTTAATTAAATATTGCAATTGGCGAAAGATCGAAACTTAAAGACAAAAGAGTAAAATATTAAATGATTAATATTTATGTTATCGTGTAATTTGTTATTGGCATTTGTGTGCACTTGAGGGAGAGCTCTGCTATTACATCCACACCACAGTCACAACTCACAGTACACACCAAATACCAATGATCACTAATTATTCACTTACCTACTACACTCACATTTACACGTCACGCATGGACATACTTAGAAAATTGCCTACCTCTACAGAACTCCTTTAAAATGGTCGGTATCGAATCCCCTTAATATTAATAACCGTATATAATTAGGTAAAGTGCAACACGCATTATAGATAAGTATTTATAATCCTCCACGCACATCAATTCTTATAACTTATTATTGGCCCATTTACCGAGCGTTTGAAATAATATTAAAAATGTATGTAGGTAACGACTATACACATAAAATGTATAATGATCGTCCCGTATAATTTAGTGTTGAGACTTAAGCGTTAGTTGAGGTGTCTGTGGATAAAGTGGCGAAAAGTCTCTCTAAATATTTTATTATTATACGGTGTGTTTGACGATAAAGGTAACATGAAATATTTTGAACGCTTGACCTTGAATTTTGTTGCATATTTAACATTTATGTATGCTACACTTAGTTAATAATTATCATATTACAATCGGGGGGGGGGGGGGGGAGTTATGACTGTTCATCGGTCATTAGTGAATAGTCAATTATAAATGTATATCATTATTCATTATAATAAACAATTATAAAAATATAAAATACGTTTGTATTATTATTCTTAAGGGGACGTTACACCCGCGTGTGTTGTCTCCGTCTTACAATAAATTAATGTACAACATAGGAAAAACTGTTTTTCGCAGGATAACCTTTATCTTTCTGTATTTGTAGTAGAGGCTCCCAAATTTCTGAACATATAGGGTAGAAAATTGCCTATGCAACAGAGTGCCTATATTTTAGATAACATTAATACAACAAAAGTTATTTGCTTCTAAACATTTCTTTTTTTAATTTGCTTATAAAAAATGATTGAATAGTGTTATTAAAAATAAGGCACGCTGTTGCACAGATTAACGCGTTCACGATCGAGAGTAAATCCGAGTGCTCTTTAAATAAACCACTCAAAAAATGGGTTTTGAGATAAAAAGAATTCAAAAATATAAATAATAACTATCTGGTCGCCAAAATTTGAACCAGCTTAGTTTTTACTCATTTGAAATGAATCATTTTTACTTTTTTCCTTGGATGTGCAATAAAAACAATTTTTTGAGTATTTTTAGTTAAAATTCGAATATTTTTTTAATAACTGACAAAGTATTTTTATATCTGAAAAATTAACTAATTCTTAAATCAGTCTGCAGAGTGAGGCAAAGTTTCGAGAACGTATTTATTATACAGTGTCAGAAGTGAGTGTGCCAATTACAATGAAAAAACTAAAGTTCTATTTTATTAGTTATTCCACAAATGACATAAAGTATGATGGTAGGATTTTCTCCCCCCCCCCAAAAAAAAATTGCTTGTACGAGTAACAGTATAAATAACAGAACTGGTACGGACTTTTGTAATGACAATAA